ACACGCAAAATCACCTATCAACACGAACGATAACAAACCGAAATCAATAAAGCAAAACATAAAAGCAGTAAAAACAGCGATCAGAGTTCATTGAGACAACTAGAAATAGCACTTTCGACTTATGGGACCGTAATGATGAAGAAGAGTTCCAACAAATGAAGGCAAAAGATATAGGTTAATCATAATTCTTTCGCAGAAAATGCCATGCTGTCCCATGGCATTCAGCGCGATTACGGAAAGAATCGCCAGAAGGACGAATAGTCGTAAAACCAAAAAATTTCTTGAAGCAATAAACGATTGAAAAGCTAACCCACCAAAGCAGTTGCTATCATCAAATGCTACCATACTTACCCTATCAGTTCGAAGCTGAACACAAATAAACTAGGGTCAACTGTGGTCAACTGTGGTAGCTGCGGTTTTTTGATAACTGCTTCACGTAGGTATATTGAGTAAGAGAGCTATCAAGATCAAGTTAGCGTTATAAACTGGGATATAGAACCGGAAAACATCAACTTATGTCTACGTGTGGACTCAACCGCCTTTGCACAATAAAAATATCACATACCATTCATTGGAACTGTACGAGAATAAGATTTTCTATGAAAAGATATTAAAGCTTCCTTTCACTCTTCTTCTAATCTCTAGTTCTTTTCTTTCTGTCTGTTTCATTAAAGCACATTCAAAATTATTTAGCTGCATACGAATAGAACCTCAGCGACTTTGACTGTTTCTACAAATAAAGTGCTTAATGTCGAATGCTCACAACTACTTGCCGCCATCGACAACAGGTAGGAATCACGAAAGGGGTTTACCCTGAGATTTTCGCTGTTTGAATGCAATGAAAAGTTACTACAATGACTGAACGTGGCATGAAGACAAAAACCACTCATCATGATGCACCACAGTACATTACGAAACCCGTCGAATGCGAAGTAAAGTTCAACATTTAATATATTTGCAACAGAGTTAAGGAGGATCCAACAAGAACGAACATCAGAACAAAGCTAAGCAATAGCTGATCACATTCTAAACCATATCAATTCTATATTTTATTCTAGAAAAGAAATAAAAAAGGAAGAAAACTGCGAAGGATAAAAAAGTTCGACAACAGCACACGGACAAACCTCGAAAGTTAACTCTCTAGAAGTAAATGTTTCGAACTCAAAATTATCGTTGTGGAGTTCAATTAAGAAGTATCCCTCTGTATACCCTGAACAAGCTCGAAATTAAGAAAGGAGAAAACTCTTGCAAGCTTTTTATTTAAGAGAAAAGCGCCGAGCATAGAGGAATATTTATGACCTTGTAGTCATTTTAAGGAAGTATTATCTGCAAAACGGACCCTGAAAAAAAACGATAATAGGGGCATCAAGAAAAGAGAGAGAGAGAGAAAAGCACTGAGAAGGAATTGGTTCCAAATCCTCTGAACAAGGGGAATAAATCAAGTATGAAAAAGGACAAGAGAGAAGAACTGATGATTGAAAATACATATTAACCTGATGAAGCTGAAGCTGAAGGAGCTTTCATCGGAAGCTTTACTCATTGCAAAGAGTACGTTTTATTAGAAAGTGGGGAGGGGAGCAGATTCTTCGAAAACTTTGACGGTGACAATAACAAAAAAAGCTTCACTAATGAACGACGTCGCGAAAAAAAAACAAACCTACTATATTTGATGCACAAATTGCAGATTGGAAGCAGGGGAAGCTCTTTCTTCGAGCACTCCGCGCTCGTGCGAACTTTTATGACTATTAAACAAGAAACGCTATTCAAAATCAAGTGAGAAGATCAATTCGTTCCAGTCACAGCAGCAAATTGAGATCGAAAAAAACTTAATTAAATGAATTCGCTATCGCGGGCAACTGTCAGAACAGAATCGATCGTTCCTGATCCTAGTGGAGATGGTTTGGGCGTCAACAAGGGCTGGTGATGGTGGCGGTTGGCGGTGGTTAGCGAGTAAGTGAGTGGACGAACGACGAGTGAGTGACCCGTGCAGTTGTTTTGGTGCGCATGCGCTGCTGCACACCTTGCGAGACCCCCCACACGTCGGACTGCGATCAATATACGAACAAACACTACTCTTGTCAGAACTGTGTAGCTTCACTTCAGTGTCGAAGGACACAGTAAGACAGGCATTCAAGTGGAAAAGGAGACAAGGAAAAAATAAAGAATAATCAAACAAAGAACCGAAATACTTCTTTGGCATCGCTACACGACCTGGTTTGAACTACACAACACGAAGCCTGGATTTCAGAAATTTTGATAGCGACCATAAGCTTGTACTTCGCAAGAGACAGAACTGGTCTTCATACAACAAAAATTCGTTAGATTTACCTCCCTTGTGCAAAAACATTCAGTAATACGGCTTGGCGACAAATGCAAACTTTAAATACAAAACCTCCTGTTCCCCACCGCCCTGCCTACTCTGGAACAAATACACGGATGATTGTATCAATATAGGAGTCGAAGATTCGAAAGATTGCGCGTTTAAGCTGTTTTTTTTGTCAGATTTTAAGAGTGGCATGATTGAAGGTGCAGATAATTAAAGGAATTTTCACCAATTGTTAGAAGATACACATGTCTATCAAAAGGAATATATGACATACCTTATATGCACATACACACATGCAAACCAGAACGGCGTGCATTCGTTTTTGTTTAACAACGAATTTCTACTTGAAATGACTCAAACACAAGCAGTTACGTTCCACTTATTAAAGTAAAACGTCACAGTGTAATTACGGCTGTAGCTACTTCATGCCCCTGTTGTAATGAATCGACATACCCAGCAAACTATTTTCCTAACTGCTTCTTCAATTAGGAGGGTAAAAGTAGAAGCAATTCCCAGATGAAAATCGCCCTGATCTTTTTGACATTGTACTCTGAAGAATTTTTGATTCATTGAATGTTTGCCCGAAAGATTGCAAAGCAACTGATAATGATCGATAGTGCTGACAAAGCGATGTAGGCAATGATTGCAGAATGGAAAAGGCGATGACTGAAAGTTGGAGCAATAGTGCAATGAAATGCGGATAGTGTTAGGAACAGGGGAACGCAAATAGGCGTTTTTCGACGTTCTTATTGACCTTTGCCATTTGCATGCACAGATCACCATTCAAGTTTCACCCACTCGGTCGCACCTGGGAGCGCGGCAAATCACTTTTCGTTTCATTCGCCGGCCACGGCATAGCACACCATCCTATGAATGTGTAATTATTGAGGGCGAAATATTTTTGCAAAACGTCAACAATACCAGCACCGACTGCATAACATGCCTATACTTTACGAAACGTAAAATGCTGAGACGCGAGATTATGAGGCAATTAAGACGGCATTTCGATGAGTTGACAGACAACGAGAGGCACGTAGAGCGTTATGAAACCGAATGACACGGGCGCAGTTTGCTGAGGGACAGAGCAAAAGGACATTGCGGACGACACAAAGGAAGAACCCCGTCTCTCCCGCTACGAATTTGAACACTCGACGGCGCGAGAGATCGGTTGCTGCGACCCGCGACAGCTGGTCTGGGACATGGCCTGAACAGACATCCTCCCGAATAAGAACGTGCCAAAAACCATCGCTTAAATGGGTGCTTGTGTGTTAATTTGTAAAACGAGGATTATATGCTCAATGATCGAAAATGGTGTGCGGAAGTGCGACGTCGCTACGCGGCGGCCTTGTTGGGCCATCGCCATCGTTGGGGCTCTTCATGATTTCCACAACAGCCAACTCTGTCCGCCCTCGTCATGGTTGCATGCTTCTCTGCTCTCTCGCAGCTCGTCCTTCTCGCTCTCCCTACTCGTGGTGGTGACACATCGCTTATTCTGTCTGCAGAGCGAATATGCTGAGACTGCTGCTCTGCTATACCTCCTCATCAACACTCACTTGGCTCCACAGCACACCACAATCGATGGCTTCACGAACGCGGATTGCACCATCCTGTTTCCTGCCACTGCCGACAAGAACACCCATTGCACGTCGGATACTTAAATTCGGCTCTTCTTATCGCCAACGTGCCCTAGGCGGTGGTCAAGGTTGCGCCGCATTCGCCTTGTCGCCATCGAACCAGATTTGAAGCTGTTTTGATGAAACGGACAGCATGTAAAACAGTCTCTGGTCTGGCTTAGAGCGTTGGATAGATCGAATGCGGAGAAGTGAAGGGGAAGAACACAGACAATCATACCTATCCTTCATGAAACGCCATTAAAGACATATCTTTCCAAAGCCCGCAATTGCAACTGGACTACGAAACAAGTGACTTCGCATCGCTACTTACAATTTGCTCGAAATTTTAAGTTTCAGTCTCCCTCTCTCCAGCCCTGTCCCCGCTCTCGTTTATGATGAACCGGCTAAATCAAGTGCAGGAGCAAAACCTCCACACTGATTTCTGTGTGATTCATAGAAAAAGTGAACTAATCTTCCACAAGCAAGAGATTGCTTGCCAAACAACCTTCGATAAGCGAACTCAGGTGAAGTCTAATCAATAACAGAATTCATGTTCTTTCCGTGATGTCTATTAATCATCATCAAGACCAAATATCCACCTAATGGATTGCATCTATTGGGCGAATGAGAGAGATAGAGGACTTTCTTATTTAGAAAGCCTCCCCAGCAATCAATAAGCATCCACACTTGGATACACAGAAAAACAAACTGTGTTTCCATCTGAAAGTTAGTATAACTGATCATATCAGCGACATCGCCTAGGGAATTGGCAAAGTAGAATGAAGTCTCATTAATTGATCTGTAAGAGACCAGAAAGCGTCGATGAAGCAGCAAAGAACTCACCTTCAGCCCACTTTTGTCGAAAAACAACCAGCAGCAATCGCTCTTTAGCCTGAAGGAATCGATAAAATGAAGTCATCGCGGGAAGTTACACACAGAATTGAATGTTTAGTGAGAGATTTCATAGAAAAGGTAATAAATATAGCGTTCTGAAGAAAAGAAAAGCCTCTTACATCAAGCCGACCGCAAATGCCAGTGACCTGTCCCGCCAAAGGTCGCGATCAATAATTTCGTCGACTGGGAATGAGTGTAGAGTTGCAGTCTAACCAACATGAACTGTAAGAGCAAGAGATCGTTTGGCAATATGCCAAAGATGTCCGCAACGATCGATATGTGATGAGACAGCAGCGGTGAGACAACAATGTCGGGAAGGCAGCCACCCAGTCGTCAGCCAGCCAGCCAGCAGAGGAGGCGAAATGTTCGCGAATACTCTCACGTTCCGGAAGCATATTTAATTGATTGTATAGCAGCGGCTAGGGACATTGGCAAAACGCCAAAACAGGCGTTCAATGCACAACGCTTCTACGATTGGCATTAGCCATTTGACGTGATGTGTTGTGGTCGTTGTGGACGACGTTGTTCGCTAGCCGATGCTCATAATAGCCGACCGATGGATGGCCAGCTGCTAAAGTAGTTCAAGTGGTTACCGCGTTCGATCCACGTGGTGGCAAGAATTCGGATCAAAGCTGTCGATTTATTCAAAATTATGGCGTTAGAAAATCGAAATTCCTGGGTAAAGTCTATGGTCCTAACTAATCCCGTTTGTGGGATGCACCCCGCACTCGACTTCCATCAGGAATCGCGGCGGCATTTTGAATGCGTATGTGGTCCTGAATTGCGGAGCTAGCCGATGCACTATTCAGTGCTTTCACTTTTCCAGAGGAGTTTCATACCGATCCCGCAAAGGTAGAATGCTTAATTGGTCTGGGCAAATATCGATCCAGGATTTGATCTGCAGACCACGCGTGCGTGTAAAGCGTGTCACTTGCCATTAAACCACCTCCTCCCTCAATATCGAGTGAACTACTGAAAGTACTATAAAATTAACTATCACGGAATAACAGAAGATAAGGGTAAAAGTATTGGTTGAATTTCTCTATTTACAACTCTACAAAATGACTGTAGATGGAATGGAATTATGCAAATCATTTCAAAAGGATTAGAACATATCGGTTGATGAGAATACAATCCACTTGCTCAATAATGGAGTACATGTTTCTGTTGTTTTAAATTAGCGAGCATGTTTAAATATTTATATATGCATTTAGGAGTGAATCCGAATAAAATTAACATTGAAATGAATTGAATTTTGATGATATTTCGATCCAGTAGGAAGTAAATCATGGGGGGGGGGGGGGGGGGNACGGCTATTCCCATTATAGAATAAACTCTTCACTCCTATATCATGGCTACTATTCACATCCAAAATTACCTTCACAGATTCAAATGGTGTATTTCAGAAGGAGTATGCTTTAATGCTTACAAAGCTGTTTTTGCAAGTAAACGACTTTTCAAGACTTTTTCATAAGGCGTTCCACGCAACTTAATACCATTTTGTATTGCTAGCGATGTGGGATGTTTTCAACACACAGATTATACCTCGTCTTTGGCAGTGCGAGATGGAGATGGATGTAATTTTAGACTGTTATTCCTTGCTCGCGTTCACTTCCGCAATCTACTCATTTGCTTCACAAAAAAGCTATGAATAACTTGTTCCATTTAGAACCCAAACGCTTGATATTACTATTAAATTGAGAAATAAGGGTGAAAATGTAGCCAGAAGTGACCACCATCACCATTTTCTTCGCGCTTTTGTTTGCATGCTCATAACTAGATATCCCGTTCGTTATCCTACTGGCTATTCTCGTCTATTTCAACTTTCCCTATGGATCACCATCTCACTCACCTCGGTGCTATCCCCCTCCTTGGGCTCAAGCTTAAAACTTCATGGCCCTGTCTCAGAATACTTTCTTAACCATTACAGTCTTGCAAAAGCGCCGCCTCAACCTTTTCTGGTTTTAGTTATTGGTGCTAGAGAGGCAGAGCATAGCGCAGTGTCTCTTCCAACTATATTTCCATCCTAAGGACAACGATATTTTCCTAAAATATACGCAATTACTCAATTGCCGACCTAATATTGCTATACCAGTTGTACAAATGTTTTGAACGTGGCATGCTACGAAGAAGAACTGGCTGACTAATGGCGTGCCGACTTGAACACAATGCTATTCACAAGCATTATCGCCGATACTTCATGCACATGCATCGCTAAAATAAATTGAAAAGTACAAATGCAATTTGGCTGCCGAGAAGACGAGCAATTCACAATGCTGCTAACTGGTATGATTTGAAATGCAAAGCTGAACAAGTTCAGGGAAACGAGTAGTCAAGTTTTTCATCGAATTCCGTCAAACTCCAAACATTCTCCATGGTATCGACACAAAGGAAACGATTCGCTGTCTCGGAACGTAACCTACATATAACCTAGTCTTGAAGAGCTTGTGATTTTACTCGGCATGGAGGTACTTAAGAGCTTGTGAACCCTTATTTCTAATTGTAGTTTCTAGCATGACGTTCAGGAAAATTCTTTATCGACTTTATGGCTGTTGAGGCTAGTTATGGTCGAAAGCAAGTCCTTTCGGAATCGATCCGGAGGTTTAAAGGGGAGTGTGATGGATTTTAATGGGAGTGTCGACTTTCCTTGAGATCATGGAGGAATTTAGGGGCGAATTGGATCCACAATCCTACCCTACCAAGACCAGCAAAATCCAAAAAAAGTTATTCCGACCCTTGACTGGTCAACATGGAAAAAGCTTAGAGGTTTCGATTTTTTCCATACCCCAGCCGGATGCGCATCATGGCGTTTTTAATCCTAACAACATATCATAATGTAAAACTTTGTAAATATGTTTGCATTGTTATAGAAAAATGCTCGATCAGACACCGCGGAGCAGCAGTTTAGCATGAATACTTTTTACAAAGGCTAAAAACACAACAATAGCTATGCAAGTTCAAAATTAAATTTATAAAACTACACCAAAAACGTTCATTTTTGAAAGAAGTTACATGGTAAGAAGAAAGGTCTGTTAAACACGGACCTTTGCTCTTACCGTACGACTTCGTTTGAAAAATTATTGGTTCAAGTCCGTGTTATTAGGCTCAGACTGGTATCGTATTGAATTCGAAAGACCGCCCATGCCCATCGTTAGCGTGATGACCCGTTTGGGCGAGTGCTTATCGAGGTAATCTAAACGAACACAAACCACCTCGCACAGCTTCGCCGAATCGATACTACGCGGTTTTCAGCTCCAATGTCCGTGTGTGTTCGTGTGTATGAGAGAGTGAGTCTGTGTGTGTGGTGTGGTGTGTGCCCGTCTGATGTGCTGCGACGACGGCCACCCACAAAAAACGCTTGAGAACCCGCCCTTACTAATCCATATAATACAACCTGAGTGGGAGGCATCGGGGGTTTGTCATTGTCGTCGTCGATCGCGGACATGACTACGAGACAACACGACACATTCTTGAGGGACATTAGCAGAAATCGATACTTCCCATGTGAATGCATTCGAATTCAATCAGATATTCAAATGTAGTCAACACTGAAAAACATTATTTAACATACTGCCATGAGTAGTGACAGGGAATGACGCCTCCCTTTGCCTTTGGCGACAAATCCTAAACAGAGTAATCTAACCATAAATCTTCAGTAATTACTTTCTTGTAACTAGCCCTCCCAGGAATAATAAGGGAACATACTTCGACATCGGATGGCCTGAAAAGCCGAGGTCTTGAACTCAATCAAATGCACCTGCGGCTTTCACTGTCGTCTCAATTCGTGGCGCAATCGCCAGTGATCGATCTACTACTGGCGAGGCATCACTCTGCTACTTCAGGGTAATCCGATATTGTTTTATCGATCACACTCGCTTAGGGTATCGATCGACTGCTGGCCCTATCGTGTGTAACGGGGCACTGTTGACCTTCGAAGGTGGTCGTTGGGCAGACAACAGACCAGACAACAGGCCAAGCTCTTCCGGCCATTAAACGCACATGAACATTGAGCCGAAATATGAGCTCATAAATAATAATGCTGTGACTTTTCAAGACGTTCCCGAGCGTTTTTTCTGGAACACTTGGCAATGCTATCACCGTAGGAATTGCAACCATGTTCGAAACATTTCTTGGAAGCTGTTCGTAACACAGCTGTTCCCGTGACGGCTTACGAAAAACCTTTCATCCTACATGTACGTCAGGCTAATATGACCTCGGTTTACTGTGACTGAGTTCACCCCATAACATGTCGCTACTACGCCGTATAATCGAAACGGCTTAGGGGCCACACCGGTCTGTTCCGATTACACCAACATCGAAGTCGAATTAGCCAAATGCGGACGTGAAACCGAGACTTGAAAGGGGTAGAACTCTCTGTATATAGTGTTCGAAAAGGGTAGATCTCTCTGCGCATAGTGTTCCAGGCAGGATTAAATCTGACATTGCGAA